GGACTCGTCTTGTACCCAAAGTACTTGAAGTCCCCAGAAGGAGATAATGGACTCGTCTTGTACCCGAAGTACTTGAAGTCCTAGTTAAACAAAGAGTAAAAGAAAAGTTGATTTTCTTGATACTACAGTTTTATACAATAATATGTTTATATTATCAAAGTAAAGAATTTCGAGAAAAGTATATGTTCACGCTATTACATTTCGTACCTATTGTTATAATTGGTACCACTCAGCTTTTGCTGATCGGGTTGGCTCCATTTTTTAGGTACACAAACAGAATAGTGACCGAACCGGAGAACAATGCTAGGGCGATGGAAGGATGGACGAGATGACATAAAGAAAGATAATAACAATAAAGATGTTATTTTGAAATATATATTTTGTACGAATATGTTAAGCTTCCGCATGTATAATAGTTACTATGATATTATCAATAAATAAATAAGTTTTGTTTAATGCTCCATCTACCGATTCAAAAAGTTAGAGCCGTTAACACCACGAGTCGGATATTCAAATAAATTCGGGTATCCGGGTCGTGGCGTTACAATTTGGTATCAGAGCATTAAGGTTTTAAAATGATTTTCGGACCCAAATAAGGATTAAAAAAGTTATAGTAGTACATCTCGTCCACTCATCCTCCAGCATTGCTCCGGAAAGGTAATTTTTTTAATACTTAGTACTTGACAATTATATAAGTTATATGGACACTGTTAAATATAGTCCTTCTATATTTAATATATTACGTATATATTATTATATTGTGTATATCCTAGTTACCATATATGCCTAGGTTTCCTTGTATTGTATTTTCCTAATATACTTAGGATTCTCCTAGTATATATTCCCTTGTATTATCACATTGTAAACTATTGGAAATATCAAATCTTTCATGGTATCAAAGCATTAAAATTCTCTCGGCTCCCTCCTCAAACTTTCGGCCTTCTCCCTGCCGACGTTCTTCGAAGCTTCTTCCCGGCCTTCGGCTTCTTCTCTGCCGCCACAGATTTCTCGGCGGCCTTCTCTCTGCCGGCTTCCTCTCTGCAGTTTCTCCCTTCGGTTTCCCTCTCTGAGCCGTAGCTCCTCCCCGGCACCACCATGGCTGAAATTTCATCTATCTCCTCTGACAATACATCTTCACCCAAAACCCCCCATCTTGCTTTTACCACTGTCTCCAACATCAAATTACACATCCCCATTCAACTCAGCATATCCGAACCGAACTACAAAAAGTGGAGTAAACTTTTTCGTTTACTTGCTCTTCGCTTCAATCTCATGGGATTTCTCGACGGCACCACTATTGCCGCCTCCTCCAACGACACTGAATGGCTCCAGTTTGATGCCCTCCTTCAAGGGTGGATTCTCTCCACCGTCACGGACGAGGTTTCAGATCTTGTTCTCGCCAACAGCCCCTCCGCTCATTCTCTCTGGACAGCGATCTACAAGTTGTTTCATGATAACAAACATGCTCGGGCGATGCAATTAGAGCATCGTTTCCGCACAACCGTCAAGGGCAACCGGACGATCAATGAATATTGTCACCTCCTCAAAAATCTTGCCGACTATCTTGATGATGTGGATGCTCCGGTGACCGAACATGCTTTGGTTTTACAGGTTCTTCAGGGGTTGCCGCAAGACATACGAGGCCAGGTTACTTTTCTTCAGTATCAAACTCCTTTTCCGACTTTTTTGGAGGTTCGCTCGGCCCTCTTTCTTGTCGAACAACAACAAACAGACGCCACCCATGGCGCCGGCTCGTCGACGGCACTCCTCATCGCTGGCAGTGGCAGCGGGTCTCCAGCGGCGGGCGGACAGTAGCGGCAGACAGGGGGTCCTGGGCGCGGCTATGGCAGTCAATCTCGACCCTTCAACAGTGGAAACCGCGGACGGGGACGTGGCCGTGGTCGTGGCAGCTCGAATCAACGACAATCCATTGGTCCGCAGTCCTGGCAGTTCCCTAACCCTACACCCGGCCTACTTGGCCCACGCCCCTACCCCACCTATCCACCCTACCCGGCCCAGGCCCACATGGCCCAAACCCCTAACCCATACCCATACTACCCCCCTGCCCAAACTCCCCAATACTACCC